GAGTGGCTGGTGGGTTTGAACCGCCAGACTTCTCTTCTGGTTAGCAGTCAAGTGCCTTAGGTACTATGCTACCTATATATGTTGTTGTTGTTTGCCATCGAGTCGGCCTCGACTCATAGCGACCCCTCCTTGGGTTTCCAAGGCAGTATCACTACGGAAGTAGATTGCCCCATCTTCCTTCTGAGGAGTGGCTGGTGGGTTTGAACCGCCAGACTTCTCTTCTGGTGAGCAGTCAGGTGCCTTAGGCACTATGCTACCAGAGCTCCTACTTATATATATATATATATATATATATATATATATATAGGACACTTGCAACTTTGGAGGCACCATTTGAATACAAACTGACTCAGTCTTCCTGGAGTTTGCAGTATAGGAGAGGAGAAAGACATTTAATAGGTAGTTATATAAATAATTGAAATTACATCAATGATAAGAACAATGAAGGAATATTAGAAAGAAAGGAGAGTCACAGAAGTCTGAGAAGGCTTCCTGGAGTGAGGAGCTCAAGCTATATAGGCTTTAACTAAGTGAAGATCAGCAAAAACATTGCTAACTGAGGGAATTGCATGTGCAAAGGTCCTGCGTAGGAGGCTGCATGGTATAACAGGAACAGAAAGCAGGTCAGGGAGAATGGAGTGGAGAAAAGTTTGTCCTGAGATGAGCTTGAAGAAATAGATAGACCCTGATGTTTCAGAGCCTCTAAAACAAGTCAGGAATTTGTGTCATTTGTCTTAAGAGCCATTGGGAAATGCTGGAGTGATTTTTAAGCCATGATACTGAGAGAAAGATCAGGTTTGTCTTTTCAAAAGATCTCCCCCTCACCCCCTTAATACGGTATGATAAGAGATTGGGAGGGAGAAAGAGTATATGTAGGTAAAACTAGGTGGCTGTTTGGGAGCTCTGGTGGCATAGTGCCTAAGGCATTTGATCACTAAACAGAAGACTGGAGGTTCAAACCCACCAGGCACTCCTCGGAAGGAAGGTTGGGCAATCTATTTCCATAGCGATATTGCCTCAGAAACCCAAGGAGGGATCGCTATGAATAGGATCTGACTCAACAGCAGTGAGTTTGGTTTTGGTTTATTATCCCTTTGAGATTGTGATTATAGTAGTTTAGTCAGGAGATGCTGGAAGACTGGATTAGGATGTTGACAGTTGAGATGGAAAGAAGTGGGTGGTTTTGAGAGACGTTTTAGGAGACAAATTCCTTAGGATTTAGCCATGTGAAATGAGGATTAGGGGTGAGTCCAGAATGATTCCTAAGTCTCTAAATTCTATAACTGGAGGGAAGATGGGTCTTCCCCAAGATAGTTAACACAGAAAAAGGACCACATTTGGAAGGGATGATCATGGAAGTTATTTTTGGAACTAAGTCTGCCAGAAGGAATGATTCCAGGATTGGTATGCATCACTGCATCATCTCCTCCTAGAGGTAGATTTGCATACCACACTGAAGGGCTGTCTATTTGGAGGTATGTGGTACAGGAGACAAAGCAGGCACCATACTGGGATTTAGTCTTTTAGTAACTATTTCAGGTCCCTGCACTACTGCTTACTGTGTCTAAATCATTGAGCAAGTCATTTGAAGGGGCTTTGTATCTTAGTTTCTGTGCCTTTAAAATGAAGGTAATTTCATGTGGTCCAAAGTGTACTTGTGAGGGATAAATGAGAGCCTCGCTATCCAAGGGCTTTATAAACCTTCGTTAACTATGCCAACACAATATATTTTTGCTATTATTACTCCTTCCTCTTTATTTGTGGTTGTTATTGCCACTTAAATCTCAATGGTATTAATATTAGGAATACATGATTCAATGTTTTCTCTATGATTTCTTTGGAGAGAAGATGTGATAGAAGTTAAATAAAAAATACACTACTCAGGAACTAGAGATGGCAGCCTGAAGCTATTATTTTATAAGCCTGCATTCAGATGTTTACAACTTGTACGTTATATGGGTTGATATCACAGCAGGGCACTCTGTGTTCCTAGAAAGAATCTTCTTTTCCTGAATCTTTTACCTTTTAAAACAAATCTCACTTTGGGACACTGAAAATTTCAGTAAAGCCATTCAACCGAATGCTAATTTTTTTTAGACTTAAATAAAGAAAAGAGTTTGCTATTGAGCAACAGGTTATAACTTGCTGCTAAGTTGATGAGATCTGGTCAGAGAAATTTATGTAGCGATCTGATAAGACATTTCAGAATGAAAAGTCCCAATCTCTTTCTGATTAAGACTGAGAGTTTAACAGACTATCAAGAGTCCTCTTTCTTTCTCTCAGTGGAGTGGCAGTTGAACACAGCTGTGGGCTGGAGTGGATGGATCAGAGAACTAAGATTTAAAGCAGACATCTCAGACTCCACACTGTTTCTGTACATGAAAACACTTACTATGCTGCCATATTCTATCTGAGTGACGTTGTATGTAACTTTCTTCACAGGCTTGTGGTGAGGTTTGGAAATAATCCTTATGAATACATAATGACCAGTACCTAATAGGACCTCAGTGAATGATCACACCCTCTTTCTTTTCTTCTTTGCTTCTCCCTTCTTTCTGTCATCTTCTCTTCTCTGCACTACCCATTGATTTAACCCCTAAATTCATCTTGCTGCATGTCTTTAGACTGCACTAGGAAGTAGCATAGATCAAAGTTGCCTAACATCACCTCATGAGTTAAGTCCTCACCAATAAAAATGAAAACCTAATTTATATAGCACTGACTGTAGATGATTTTCTTTAATCTTCTCCACAAATTTATGATGTAGGTATTAGCATTGTGTCGGTTTACAGATAAGGAACATTGATTGTGCCATAGGTAGGTTAAAGGGCTAGTCCAATATTACAGACTCAGTAAGTGTAAGAACTGGAAGCTTTCACCTATCCTTACCACCCCAACCAAAGTTCTCCAAGAAAATTAGGACTGACACTCATGTATTTACTCAACAAATATTTATATATTAATACAATATTTACTTATTATCAGGAAGTAGATAGACATAGTCTTTACCCTCATGGGATATATATATATATACATTCTATTTACTATGCCTGGGACATTACATATACATATATATACATGTATGTGTGTGTGTGTAAAACACACATATATGCTTATAAAACATGCATAATATGTACACATATGCACACACACATATATACACACATATAAATTCCATGTATAACTTACATATACTTACATGCAGGGTTAATACTCAGCCATACTCACTGGCATTGCCCTATTCACTGGTTGGTGTCAATGTGGTACCTGTTGCTAAACATTTTGCATATCATTCCTTCTTAGAAATTTTGTTAAGTGCCACATAGGATGGAAAGATCAGGATGCTTAAGTTGATACAGAAGTTTAAGAAATCATATGAATGAAAGTATTTACATTGTGACTTGAACAATGAATGTTCTAGTTCTGCTGTGAAA